AAGAGATGAATTCTCAAGTTCAAAATAGAACGCACTGGAAGCAATTAATTAATCCTAAATATTTAGGTGTTTATTGCCTCCCAAATGGGCAGGATCTGACTATAACGATCCGTTCAGTAGGTCGTGAAATTGTTATTGGTGACGGCGGTAAAAAAGAAGAATGTACTGTCGCACAACTCGTAAATTCAAAACCTATGATTCTTAACCGAACCAACTGTAAAACCATTGAACGAATGTATGGTCCATATTTAGAGGATTGGGCTGGAAAATCAATCACAGTGTTTGAGTCATCTGTAAAAGTTGCTGGTGAAATCGTTGCTTGTTTGCGAGTCAGAAAAGAAGTACCCCACGTTCAGAAAGTATTGCATCCAATTACCCCGCAGCAGTTCGACAAAGCGCTAAAAGCAGTTGAGACAGGTCATTACTCCATTGATCAAATCGTTGCTGGATATGCTTTAACTCAAGATCAACTCAACCAATTAAATGGAGTCAAAAATAATGAAACTAATTAGAGCTTCATCAATTGGAAAGATTATGGCCTACCCTGAAAAAGATACTTTAAGCAGTGGCGCATATACATATCTTGAGTGCTTAGCATCACAAGTTGCTTTGGATTGGGATGAGGATTTAAGTTTTAACATGGTCGAAAAAGGACGCCTCGTTGAGCAAGATTCTATCGATCTTTATAACAGCTATAACTTCACAAGTTATGTGAAAAATACAGAACGTAAAAACTCAGAACTAATCACCGGCGAATGCGACATTGATGATGTGGAAAACAGCCTAATCATTGATATCAAATCTTCTTGGTCTAAAGCAACTCACCCCTACCAATTGAAGCTAGGCGGTAAAACAGCATATGAATGGCAGCTTTTGGCTTATATGCACCTGTGGGATAGAAACCAAGCTGAACTAGCACATTGCTTAGTTGATACACCATACGAATTGATTGGCTATGAAGATGAAAATCTGCATGAAGTAAATCATATCGACAAAGCATTACGTGTGACTACGCTTCGTTTTGAGCGTGATGCAATCAAAGAAAAACAAATGTTGGCCAAAGCAAAAACAGCACTATATGTTTTGGCTGAATTACTTGATAAGAAAGGAATTGCAGCATGAGTAAACCAATTTCAAATGATGACATTGATTACATATCAGATTTAGCTGAACAGTTAGCTCCACGTGTAATCGGTGGGAATGGCTTTTCTGTTGAATTAGATGCAGATCAAACCACTTTGTTCTATCACATTCTTACCGATTTTATTGTGAATAATGAAATGAGTGATGATTTGCCAAAAGATATTCGGAAAGCATTGGGGGAAGTTGCGTGAAAAATCACATAGGTATTCGATCTAAACTCAAAGAGCTCAATGTAGAAATGATGTCTACTGTAATGCGTCGCGATCAATATCAAAAAGAAGGCAATGAGTTTGCATTTGATTTAATGCTTGGAAAGCTGGGAGAAATTTTGGCTCAAATTAAAATATTGAAATGGGTTTTAGAAGAAAAGGAGCAAGGTTTATGAAATGGTACTCTATGACGCAAGTAGCGAGTGAATTGGGTGTGTGTCTAAATACTTTCAAAAAATACTATTTAGAGAAGTATCCACCTGATCAGGAATTTGGAGTTCAAAAGAAATATACAGCTTCTACTTTGCTAAGGATGAAAAAAGAAATATTAAAGGAAGGCGCTTAATTAGCGCCTTTCATCCAACGATCAACTTGTTCTGAATACCACTTCATCAACTCTACCCTTTCATCCCAATATTCAGCTCTGTTGTAAATACCGCGAATACGATCTTTGGGAACGTGCGCAATTTGGTATTCAATTACATCAGGTCTGAATAGTTTTGAGTTATTTGTGTGGGTAGAGAATAAAGATCGAAAACCATGTGTAACCATCTGCCCTGCATAACCATTTCGCTTAATGATTGCTAAAATGCTTTCAGATCGGACATGCTCACCAGGATTGCGAGTGTGCTTAAAAATATATCCATTATCCGTCTTATGATCATATAGTTCTTTAAATAGCGTGTAAGTTTGATCAGTCAAAGGGACAACATGATCTCTACGCATTTTCATTCGAGATGCTGGAATCACCCATTGTCTATTTTCTAAATCGATTTCGCCACTATCCCAACGTGATTGAAGTAACTCAGAAATACGAACGGCTGTGTAACATGCGAGTTTAAGTGCGTGTAACAGTTCTGGTGTAACATTACTATGTGTTACACGCTTCCAAAATTCAGGCATTTGCTCTGCATCAAGGCTCGGCATATTACGAACAGTTTGATGTGGGATAACATCAGAAATCAAAGTACATGGATTTTTCTGGGTATAGTCTGAAGCAATAGCAAAGTTAAAGATTTCATTTAGTAATCGAAGTGAACGTTTTGCAGTTTCTAGTGTTCCCTTATTCACGATTTCTTTTACTTTCTTAACGATTATTTTTCTATCAACTTCATCAATCGGCTGATTTTTAAAATCTTCAGTAATATAATTCAGCCTATAAATAACTGTATCTATGTACTTTTTACTGGACCAACGTGGCGTCATCAGTTTAAGCCATTCTTCGATCACAGCATTTACAGATGGTGAATTTAGCATCTTCCCTTGTGCTTCAGCTTTACACTGACGAGCTAACTGGCGGGCATCTTTACACCCTAGTTCAGGGTATTCACCTAAATTCTTTCTAGTCTGTTTTCCATTTACTCGGTATGAAACGATCCATTTCTTTTTACCTGTAGGAAATACATCAACTGACAAACCCTCACCATCTGCAAGTGAATATCTTTTTTCTTTTGGTTTTAAAGCTTTTACTTGTGAGTCTGAAAGCATAGTTTACCTGTTACACGCGTGTCACACCTGTGTAACATCATATAGTGATAGTGCGTGATTTTCAAATAATGCCTGTCTATGTCCATGATAGATGTTTAGGCATTAAAAAAGCCCTGAAACTGTTAAATTTCAAGGCTTTATTAAGTTTCATGATACATCGTATAACTAAGTGATAGATCATGATTTACAAATTTGGTGGAGATGGCGGGAGTTGAACCCGCGTCCGCCAACACTACACTCGAGAATACTACATGCTTAGATATCGTCAATTATTTTAACATTAAGTGACCCGACGAACAGGGTACAAAACGCGATCCTCTAAGTTTAGTATAAAGCCCCGAGGCTTGACTTTATACGGACTTGTGTGCGTGCGCTACAGTCGGGTCCACTGACCACAAGTATTCAGTGAAGCGGACAAGCTGCCCTTAGGCAGCTAGAGCGTAAGATTCGTCGTTTGCGACTAAAATATGCAAATTTGATTTACGAGAGAAAATGCGCTCTCGGCATGCATCTATGAGCTTCATCATCGGCGTCGAAGCCAATAACATCCCCAGATAACACGGTCATCATAACATAATTGTTGCAAATTAAGCAGATAATTCACTACATTTATATCAAATGATGCGCCTAGTTCTATAATTGCGCTACTATCACTATTTTTCAAGGGACAAATATAAAAAAGATGAGCTATTTACTCTCACTTGATCAAGGAACGACCTCTAGCAGAGCAATTATCTTCGATGAGCATGGAAAGATATATGCGTCTGCTCAACGGGAAACCCAAATTAAAACCCCTCATTCGGGCTGGGTTGAGCAAGATGCAATGGAAATTTGGACCACACAAATCACCGTCGTACAGCAAGCAATCGCATCGGCAAGACTACTGGCCAAAGATATTAAAGCACTTGGTTTAACCAACCAACGTGAAACCACCGTAGTCTGGGATAAGCGAACAGGTAAACCACTTGCTCCTGCCATTGTGTGGCAAGACCGACGCGCTACAGACTGGTGCAATCAGTTAGTTCAAAACAATTTATCTGAAAAAATTCATAAAAAAACAGGATTAAGAATAGATCCTTATTTTAGTGCTGGAAAACTGGTTTGGTTATTGGAAAATGTGCAAGGCTTAAGAGCACTGGCTGAACAAAATCATGTGGCATTCGGTACAGTCGACAGCTGGTTGATTTGGAATTTAACCCAGGGTTCAGAGCATGTCATCGAAGCAAGTAATGCTTCACGTACCATGTTGATGGATTTAAAAACACAGCAATGGGATGCGGAATTAATTGAATTATTTAATATCCCGGCGAGTGTTCTACCTAAAATCATTCAATCTGATTGTTATATTGCCAATACCGCCACAGGGCTTCTTGGTGCGGAAATTCCAATTTGTGGCGTATTAGGTGATCAACAGTCTGCACTCTTTGGGCAATCATGTTTTGAAGCTGGAACAGCCAAAAATACCTATGGGACAGGCTGTTTTATGCTGTTCAATACCGGAACAGATATTCAATATAGTAAAAATAAATTACTCACCACCTTAGCGTGGAAATGCCAAGACCAATCCCATTATGCCTTAGAAGGCAGTGTATTTATGGCTGGTGCAATTGTGCAATGGTTAAGAGATGGTTTAGGAATTATCAAAAATAGTGCTGAAGTTGAAAAGTTAGCTTGCCAAGTTGACACTACAGATGGTGTCGTTTTGGTTCCAGCCTTTACAGGTTTGGGAGCGCCACATTGGGACAGTGAGGCACGTGCTTTACTCTGTGGAATGTCACGTGGAACCAATAAATCACATATTGCCAGAGCTGCCTTAGAATCCATTGCATTCCAAGTTTCAGATGTATTAACTGCAATGCAATCGGATATCGCACAGCCCTTAAAACAATTGCGTGTGGATGGTGGCGCAAGCCAAAATGATATGCTAATGCAATTTCAGGCAGATATTTTAAATGTACCTGTGCTACGCCCTAAACTTTTAGAATCTACCGCTTGGGGTGCTGCTGCATTGGCAGGATTAAAGGCAGGTGTTTTTAATAATCTCAGTGAAATTTCCGAATCTTGGCAATTAGATCGCGCTTTTGAGCCGAAGATGAGCGCAGACCAAAGACAATATCACCTAAGCTTATGGAATGGTGCTTTGCAGCGCGCGAAGTCCAATTAACAATATCCAATTAGCAATTCTACGTAGAAAAGCTTGGCTAAAATTAAAGATAAAATTAAAGATATATTTTTAGCCAAGCTTACTCAGTTTAAAGTCTTTCAACAAACAGTATCCCATTTAAATGGTCGATTTCATGTTGCACAATGCGTGCAGGGAAACCATGAAACTGCTGGATAATCTTTTCGCCAGTCAGCGTGAAAAATTGTACAGTAACTGCTTCAGCACGAGCCACTTGCCCTCTTTCATTCGGCACACTTAAACATCCTTCCTCACCCAAGATGGTCTGTTCAGACTGCTCTAAGATTTCAGGATTAATCATTGTGATTGCATCCATTTCAGGTGCGTCTGGGTAGCGAGGGTTCGCTCTTGAAGCAATAATAATCACCCGTTTAGAAACATAGACTTGTGGTGCGGCGATCCCCACACCATTACGCTCTAACATGGTGGTCTGTAAGGCCTTGGATAATTCGTTTAACCACGTACTTGAAAACTCAGCTTCAGCCACAGGCGCTGCGATTAATTTTAAAACGTCTTCACCACGTTGGGCGACAGGTAACACGGCACTCATTATCTTGTACCTTGATTAAATGTAAATTGAATAAAGATGAGTGTAGCATTTGAAATGCGCTTTCCAATTCAATTATTGTGCAAAAGTATGTAGGTTATGTACAAATGAATTTCTATTTACCCAAGCCAAATGACAGCTTGTCTTTTAAGCCATTTTTAATCATGATCGTGTAAATAACAAGCGTCCAGTCTATCGTTGAAAATAATGAATACAGCACCCCTATTCTTAGGCTTGATCTTTAGCTCAATTGGCTTAGGCTATTTTATCTATGGAAAAAGACAGCGAATGAACATGCCTTTTATCTGTGGCATCACTTTGATGATTTTTCCTTATTTTATTGAAAATACAATGATTATGTCTGTATGCGGTATTATTCTGAGTGTTATCCCGTGGTTAATTCGCATGTAAGTGATCAATATTTAAATCTATTAGAATCTAGCTTAGCGCAATGCTTTTAAAGCAAAAATGATTTTTAAGCCGCCTCGATCACCTATAAAAATAAGTAGGATGCATAAAAATAAATATTGATTTTTTAAGTAAAAAATAGTCAATTAAAATGATTACATTCACATTCAATATCTCTTTTAAGGCATTGCATCATCATGGACGAAAAATTGGGCCTCAATAAGGAAGCAAAAAGAACGCTTGCATTGTCTTCTCTGGGCGGTGCGCTCGAATTTTATGATTTCGTCATTTATGTATTTTACGCAAAAATCATTGCTGAACTATTTTTCCCTAGTTCTTTAAGTCCTTTTTGGGCAATGCTGAATACTTACGGAATTTTTGCCGCAGGATATTTCTTCCGTCCCTTAGGTGGCGTGATCATGGCGCATTTTGGTGATCTCGTAGGACGTAAACGCCTGTTTAGTTTATCCATATTATTGATGGCACTCCCTACTTTGTTTATCGGTCTAATGCCAACTTATACAGACATTGGTTTAGCTGCTCCACTGCTACTGTTGTTGATGCGCGTGGTTCAAGGCATTGCGATTGGTGGAGAAATTCCCGCAGCATGGACATTTGTTTCAGAGCATGTACCAACAAAGAAAATTGGTTTTGCCAATGGTTTGCTTACCGCAGGTTTGTCACTGGGGATCTTACTGGGCGCTTTGATGTCGCTGTTTATTTCGCTTAAGTTTAGCGAAGCAGAAATCCATGCTTGGGCTTGGCGTCTCCCGTTTATAGTCGGCGGAGTTTTTGGATTAATTGCCTTATATCTAAGAAGTTATCTTAAAGAAACCCCAGTATTTAAAGCGATGCAGGCGCGTAAAGAACTCTCAAAAGATTTACCCATCAAGCAAGTTTTGGTATCCCATAAATCTGCTGTTGTCATTGGGATGCTGTTCACTTGGTTTTTAACTGGTTGTGTTGTAGTAATTATCCTATCTACCCCCAATTTACTGACCACCACATTTAACTTTCAACGTGCGGATGCATTTCAGATGCAAAGTATGGCAATTCTGATGCAAATGTTGGGTTGCATATTGGCAGGTTTGCTCGCTGATCGTTTTGGTGCTGGGCGCGTAATTTGTTTGGGATCGCTCAGTGTGGCAATCACTGCAGTGCTTTTTTATTACAGTTTAGGTCATGCCGCTCATTCAACGATCTTCGGATTGTACATGTTGCTTGGACTATTTTCTGGCACAGTCGGTGTGGTTTCCTATAGCTTGGTCAAGATGTTTCCCGCTCCAATTCGCTTTTCAGGAATTTCATTCTCATACAATGTTGCATACGCAATTGCAGGCGGCTTAACCCTGCCATTGGTCCAATGGCTAAGTTTATATCGCGATATTGGTGCTGTGTACTATATTGTTGTGCTTTGTCTAATCACCCTTATGACAAGTGTAGTTTATCGCAAAAAATTTGAAACGGTTTAACCGCGTTGTTTGTATCCAAATGAAGGGGTAAGCTCTACTTCAAAGAAATGACAAACCTGATTACGCCCATTGTTTTTTGCCAGATATAAGGCCTGATCAGCCTGACGAATCAATTCTTCTTTTGTTGATAAAAAAGGATTCGTTGATACTGCGACACCAAAACTTGCCGTCACTTTGAGCGTCTGTTGATGATCTAATCGTATTTCTTCTTTTTCAATTGCTTGACGGCATCTCTCAGCAAGTCTCAGCGCATTTTCTAATGCACCATTGCTCATGAGAATAATAAACTCTTCACCCCCAAATCGTCCAACAACATCCTGTTCACGAATATTTTCAGTCAAAATTTTTGCAACCTGTTTTAAAACTGCATCCCCAATATCGTGTCCATACTGGTCATTAACACTCTTAAAGTAATCTAAATCTAATAACACGATCGCAAAAGAACTTTGCTGCTGTTTTAATAAATCAATATTCTCACCAATCCGCCTTCGGTTATAAATGCCTGTAAGTGGATCTAGAACGCTAATTTGCTGGATCATTTGCTCTCTTTTGCGCCATTGAATTAAAAGAACCTCGAATAAAATCAGACTTGCAAAAAAAATTGGAATATAAAAATACAACATGCAAAATACCCAAAATGTATTTTTATATAGCGACATAGATTGTAAATATTCACTAAAAATTGGTGCATACGTCATTTTATTCGTCAGGCTTAATCCAAGACTGATCAACATAAAACAAGTGATTGGAATGACGATTAGATACACCACTTTTCGTTCAAATAATACCAGTGCCACTGTGACTAAGCTGACATAACCTGCACTTGATGCTGGGCTAAAAATCCCGATGCAATGTGCGCCAAAAACAAAAATAAGACCAAAATATGCAACGGTTATATACGGTATTATTATTTCAAAAATAGTAATTTTACTTAAAGCACGAATAATAAAAATCAGTGCAAAAAAACCCAGTGCGGCTAAAGATAATAATTTCATATAGGTTGGATAAAAATCTTGATTAATCCAAGCTTGTAATTCAACTTGACTGTTGCTAAAAAACCACCAGACAATCCACGATAAAACAGCAATACCTCCCAAGAGGAGCACAAGGCTACACTTCTTAAGATTACTCCAATTCATGATCATGACGTCATGGGTGAAGTGTTCCGTTGAGGACTGTATCGCCGCTCTATGTTTTTGTTCCATATAATAACTATTCCATAAAATTGTGAATTTCTATCCGTTGTTTTATTTATCTGTATTGATCACTTAAATATAACACTCTAGTAATTTTATGTAAGTGTATTTCAAAAATATAGATTTTTATTTTAAATAAACCTTAAGGTGAGGATATTAATCCTTTATGTTATTTGTAAATATTTTCCAAATAACAATCATTTTATCACGCTTATTTTATCAATTTTAACTTTAAATTTTTCCTAATATTTCAATAAACAAAAGGATTCCACTTACATGCTTTGGCCGAATGGAATTATTTTTATTTTACTGGTGATATCCGTCAACCTTTAGCCTATTTGGACATATACGCATAGCTGGATACAAGCACTTTTAAAATAAGATATGTCGCCTTAATCGGTTTTATTGTTAATTTATCCTAATTTATTTTTAACCTATATTTAAACATACTCAAAAAATCAATTTTAAAGCTCACAATTTGAAACATCATTTTAGCAGAATCCAAACTTGAAATATCCAATTAGACTGGCCTGAATCACTGTATTGATTGTCATACTGTTTTAAACTGCACACCATCAATATTGTCATTCCAATTCAATGCCCAAATCACTTTGTTATCACCATCCCAAAATCATTTGGATTCAGTTTTAAGCTTGATTAAAATAAAATAATCTTTTCAAGTGCTTAACCAAAAAAACTTGGCTTTATATTTTTTTATAAACTCTGATAGTTTTACTGTTAAATTTTAAACCGATAGACGTTGATTGAATTTCTATATTAAAAATCAGCGCTCTATATTTGATCTGAATACAAAATTCTTCTGCGCCATCATCCAAACCAGAAGTGCTCCACATTGTACCCTGTGGGAACTGATCTAACCATGGGGCTTTGTAAAAATCAGAGACTGAATCAAAGTCGAGATATTGCTCAGGTTGAGCCATGATTTTTTCAACAAGTTCTTCAAACTTTTGTTTTTGTATTTGAACAAAATCAATAATCATGGCAGCCCCTTAAATGATGTTAAATTCCTTTATACATGCTCGCTGATTGTTTCTTTTTAACCTGTTCCCATTGCCACCATCCAAATCCAGCCAGTCCAACAAACGCTGCATATAAAGCAGCTGTTAGGAATAATTCTTTATACATAAACATCCCTACATAGACGATATCAACAAAAACCCAAAGCACCCAAGTCGCAATATGTTTACGGCTGGTCCAATAGGTTGCCAGTAAACTAAATGCAGCCAATTGAGAATCTAACATAGGCAAAGCAGCATCGGTAAAATAGTGCAGCGATAACCCAAATACTCCCCCTCCAACAGCAGCGATGATCATTTGCAGAATTACGGTTTGTACAGCAATGGGCTCTATTCGAATCTCTTGATCTTGCTGCTTGCCTTTTAGCCAGTGATAAAAGCCATAAAAATTCACCACCATAAAGAACACTTGTAAGATTGTTTCACCATACAATTTGAATTCAAAGAATAAATAGGCATATAAAACAAAGGCAAAGAAGTTAAATACCCAACACCACATATTTCGCTTAATCGTCAATGTGACACCAATAATACTGATAATAACCGCGAATATTTCTAATGGTGACATGGTAAAAAGCTAATCAAGACAGGAAAGGCTATTATGAAAAAATACGGCATGATTGCAAGCAAAACCAGAACTAAAATTGAGAACGAAATCTTTAATATAATTTTTGAATTAAAATTCACAAAAAATACTGTTGTTTTGTTTTTTGCATAATCGTTACGATAACAATATAAATTCCTTAAAAAGTAAATAATTAGCCTTAAATCACAGTTTATAGCGTATTGATTTTTAAAATCGTATTTCTGCATCTCAATCAACATACTCAAACATGATGCGATATAGTAAATTGAGTTCAATAGCATAGACTAATCAGCACTTTCGAAAGCTGCAATTTAAGCTTTGAACTATAGCAAAATTAACTCAAATAGCTGATAAAAACTGTCTCGTTTACATTAAAAAGCAGAGAAAAGATTGATCGGGGAAACGCAGCGCAAAATTTATTTATTTTAAATAATATGTTTAAAAACATTGATTTGCATATTGTTTTTAGTTGATGTTGTTCACATTTTAATCATGTTTACGAGATTTAACACTTGTTTACGTGAATACCAATGAATTTACAGAGGGGAACCTCTACTATCAACCTTAAGTTATGAACAATCCCCAAAGTTCATAACATTTCTCCTTAACCGAACTGTGAAAGCAGATTCGTTGTTCTACGCAGTGATCACCCCAATCATTGCGTATTTTTTTGTCTTCAGTTCCCTCTGTAAACTCAATCATTTATAAGGAATAGTTGGCTAAAATGCAAGCATTACTTTTCAAGCAATTTTCAAAATATAAAAGAATATATTAAATTATAAGACATTGATTTTAATTAATATCGTAAAATATTTTGTTGCAATACTACGACAAAACCGATAAACTTAATTTATTAATTGAATTAACTGATGATCATTTAATTATTCAGTTCAAATTAAAAATTTTATTTATAAAAATGCGCAACAATAATTTTGAGTAAAACAATATGTGGGAATTATTTACACACTCATCCAACTTACTGTTTAGTGTCAGTCTGTGCCTGATGTTTTTATTGGGTATTGTGGAGTGTTTACTCCTTATTATTGGTTCAACCTCTCAAGGTTTCTTAGACCAGTTTATTCCAGATCAACTGTTAGAAACCCATCATGCGGATCTAGACATCCATACAGATCACAATCTTTTAGTTCAGCTGTTAGATTGGCTCTATCTTGGCCGTGTCCCCGTCTTGGTTTGGTTGATCATTTTTCTGACTGTTTATGCGCTATTTGGTTTTATTGTGCAAAGTATATTTTTCAATTTCACTGGAAATTATTTTTCAATTTGGCTGATTGCGCCAGCCAGTCTTTTTTTATCTATGCCGATTGTTCGAGTGTGTGCAGCACTCGTTGCAAAAATTTTACCGAAAGATGAAACCACTGCGATTCACAGTGATGAACTGATTGGGCGTACAGCTCAGATTATTTTAGGTGAAGCAAAACAAAACTACCCTGCACAAGCCAAAGTCATCGATCAATTTGGACAGACACATTATATTTTGGTTGAACCAGAATTAGATGAAATCTTCCAACAAGGTCAAAGTGTGATTTTGACACAAAGAACAAAACTAGGCTTTCAAGCAACGCCACTTTAATTTTTCAATAACAATCCTGGGTATAATAAAATGTTGAATTCAAACTTATATCAAATTCTTGTTTTAGCAGGCATTATATTGGTGGCACTGATTGTCATCGGGGTGATTATCGCCCGCCTGTATAAACGCTCAAGTAAAGAAGTTTCTTTTGTCCGTACTGGTTTTGGCGGTGAAAAAGTCATTTTAAATGGCGGTGCAATTGTATTGCCGGTTTTACATGAAGTGATTCCCGTCAATATGAATACCCTTCGTCTTGAAGTCAAACGTGCCACAGATCAAGCGTTGATTACTCGTGATCGTATGCGTGTAGATGTGATGGCTGAATTTTATGTACGGGTTAAACCAACCGCTGAATCTATTGCGACAGCTGCCCAAACCTTGGGTAAAAAAACCATGTCTCCACAAGAACTCAAAGACTTGGTGGAAGGTAAATTTGTAGACTCACTGCGTGCTGTTGCCGCTGAAATGGCAATGGAAGAGTTACATGAAAAACGCGTTGATTTTGTTCAAAAAGTTCAACAAGTGGTTTCTGAAGATCTGTTTAAAAATGGTTTAGAATTAGAAACGGTTTCACTGACAGGTTTAGACCAAACCAGTTTTGAATATTTTAATCCTCAAAATGCTTTCGATGCAGAAGGTTTAACCAAACTGACTGAAACAATTGAAGACCGCCGTAAAAAACGCAATGACATTGAACAAGACAATGATTTAGCCATTAAAGCAAAAAACTTAGAAACTGAACAAGCACGCTTGCAAATTCTACGTGAAGAAGAATATGCAAAACTTCAACAAGAGCGAGAAATCGCCATTCGTAAAGCTGAGCAATCGGCAGAAATTGCAACGCAGGAAGCCGCAAAAAAACGTGAAGCAGAAGAAGCTCAAATTGCTGCTGAACGTGAAGTCGAATTAAAGCGTATTGCGTCTGCACGTGATGTTGAAAATGAAAATATTCAAAAAGCACAGCTGATCCAAAAAGCACAAGTCGAACAGAAGAAAACCATTGAATTGGCCGAGCAAGATCGTGCGATTGCAATTGCTGAAAAATCACGTGCTGAATCTGAAGCCAAAGCGTTGGCTGACCAAGCACGTGCACAAGCAGTAAAAGCGGAAGAAGAAGTGACAACTGTTCGTGAAACTCAGCGTGCAGAGCGTTTAAAAGCCGTTGAATTGGTGGCTGCAAAGCAAGTCGCTGAAACAGATGCGATTGCGATTACCGTAGCAGCAGAAGCCGCTAAACAGGCAGCTGCAGATGATGCAGAAGCAGTCCGAATTGCAGCACAAGCGGATGCTGAAAAAATACGTTTAAAAGCCAAAGGTGAGGCAGATGCAAAAATGTTGCTTGCTGCGGCACAAGAAAAACAATATCAAGTTGATGCTGAAGGTACGCGTGCTGTCAATGAAGCCAACAACGTGCTTTCAACAGAACAAGTTGAGATGCAAATTCGTTTAGCCTTATTGAAATACTTACCTGAAATCATTCGTGAAAGTGTTAAACCAATGGAAAATATTGATGATATCAAGATTCTTCAAGTCAATGGTTTAGGCGGTATGGCAGGTTCAAATACAACAGGTGAATCTGGTGAACAAAATCAAATTGCTTTGTCTGATCAAGTGGTCAATAGCGCATTGCGCTACCGTTCTCAAGCCCCACTGATTGATAGCTTAATGAATGAGTTAGGCATTAAAGGCGGTGATATTAATGGTTTAACGCAATCCTTAAAACCAAGCAATGACTAATAGAACTGACCTCATAATCCCTTAATTACCAGCCTCTGTCATCAGGGGCTTTTTATTGGATGGATTTTTATTCATGATCTAATACACCTGATCGTTTTTAATGGTATAGATGTTAACGATACAGATATGCTTATCTCAATAAGTCATGATGGAAACTCACGATTTCTTTTAAAATCGGCTAATTCAACCAAGATTGCTTATCTCAATGCTATGCTCTAGTCCTATCCAGTTTTGCTTAATTTAAAAATGACTTGGTTTATTTTTATTCTCGGTGCCATGATTGCCGGTTTTGTCCAAGGTTTAACCGGTTTTGCCTTTGCTTTGATTGCGATGTCTTTTTGGATTTGGGTATTACCACCACAACTGGCAGCACCATTGGTGGTGTTTGCTTCTCTATGGAGTCATATCATTGCATTAGGGAAAGAACAAAAACATCAACTCCCGTTTTCCCTTGTTCTCCCTTATATCATTGCAGGATTGATCGGTGTACCTCTCGGTACCTATCTTTTACACCTCATTGATGGAAATACCTTTAAGACCATCCTTGGATTATTTTTAGTGATTTGGTGCCCAACCATGTTCTTTGCACCTGTTTTCCCCCGTATTCAAGCATTGGGGAAAATTGCAGATGGAAGCATTGGTTTTATTGGCGGTATTTTAGGTGGTCTAGGTGGTTTTTGTGGCGCAGCACCATCAGCTTGGGTGATGCTTAAAAATCTGCCTAAACAACAACAGCGTTATATTTTAAGACATTTTAATTTTGCGATTCAGTTGTTTACAATTATTATTTATCTATGCCAAGGAACCATCCACAAGGTCCATCTCCCCTATTTTGCACTGATCATTCTCACAGTGAGTATTCCAGCGCTGATTGGTGCACAAATGTTTTATAAAATATCAGAAAAACAATTTAAACAATTGGTGCTGAGTTTATTATTTGCCTCAGGCTGTTTCTTATTGCTGACATCATTGCTTTAGCAAAATAGAGAGAAAGTTGAATGAATCTAACTGGCTATTTATTCAGCACTTAGTTGCTAAAATGAAAACAATATCCGAGCGACTCTATTTTTAATATTCGATTCATCCTACAATTCCGCCACTCATTTTTCTTAAATATCTGTGATGAAAAACTCATTTTTGTTAAGTGCCAGTATTCTCTTAACAGGATGTGTACTTGGCACATCTAGTGAAATTAAAACTGCGGAAAAACTGCTCAGCCAATTTCAATGTAATAATATTGAAACAGCAGAATTGGCCCATAGTTCAATTAATACTTATCATGAACGCTCACTTGCTGTGAGTAAAGAAAAAGCCACTGAGTACGTCGATCGCTATAAATCTGGAGATGAATTATTTAAAATTCCTCTCGATGAAGTGGTTCAACAACAATACGATATTTATAAGACAGCCTGTGAATCTCTCGGCGGTGTGCAACACTCAACAACAGGCAACGCTAAAAATAAATAAGCCGATTATTGTTGAATACTGCAAAATGTTTATGATCTTAAAAATATCGTGTTTTCAATGATTGTGTTTTAAAATCATAAGCGTAAATCATGATGAGCAGCGTTCATTTTTAAAATTGCCTAGACCATCCTCTATACTGCTGAGTTTTTAAATACACCCTCTAGTGAGATATAGCGATCTAATCTCCAGATTTTATCTCATGATCAAAACAGCCTCAAAATCAGCAAAAATAGTGGCTGTAGCAAACCTAATATGGGCAAAGTGATATGATTGCTGCATCATCACAATAGACGTGCCGTAATTTATTTTTTTGCCTTGTATGAATGGTCTTTGATACCAAAAATTTTGATCCCCATCAGATAAAAAATAGAGGTTAAAATTAGACCGACAACCCATGAAACATCTGCACCATCAAGTGCCTTGGCAATAGGACCTGTATACAAGTCTGTCGCAATAAAAGGCACTTGAACAATGACACCAAAAATATATGCAGAAATAGCCATGAGGTTAAATTTTCCATAGATTCCCCCATCTTGATGGAAAAACGAATCGACATCATATTCCCCATGACGAACCCAGTAATAATCAACCAAATTCACAGCGGTCCAAGGGATAAGTACGTAGATGAGCAAGAAAATAAAATTAATAAATATGGGCAGAAAATTACTGGATGCTTTGATTCCAATCCACAGCGCAATAGCAATTAATAAAAATGAAATCGCAATTCGCCCCTTAGCCAATGGCATAAATGATGGGATAAATGTCTGGATAAAAGAGATTAAAGTCAGTACACCACAATACAAATTCATTGAATTGATCGCTGATATGGAAATGACTAAAATCAAAATAAATACGCTCCCCATCTCAGGTACATAAGCGATCATCCCAGCGATAACATCTCCACCCGGTGTCACCAATCCTATCGTTACCCCCAAACACATCGGAATGATGGTACCCAATCCACATCCCCAATATGTCGCCCAGAACGCTGCCTTTGCCCCTGTTTCTTTTGGTAAATGACGAGTAGCATCAGAGACATAGGGTGCATATGCGATCTACCACAGTGCAGCAATCGAAAGTGTAGCGAGAAAACCTGTAGCTGAAAAAGAATTACGCGCGAAAAAATCTGAAGGTAAACCTTGAATAAAAAACACCCAAACATATGCTGCCAAAAAAGCCAAACCAGAGATCACAAAGGTTATTTTTGTAAATAGATGAATTAATCGATAACCAACGATTGTGCCGATCACAGCAACGACACAAGTGAATAATATGCCAGATGACTGACTGAATGAGGGAATAAGCAAATTCATGGCTTGTCCAGCCAGCGTCGCATTTGAAGCTAGGAAGCCGACATACATGATGACTACGATTCCAAGGATTGGAAGCGCGCCATATGCACCAAACTGCCCTTTGGTTTGAATCATTTGAGGAACACCGAGATGCGGTCCTTGAGCGGCATGAAGTGCAGCAAAGATGCCACCAATAAGCGTCCCTAGAATAATACTTAAAATAGCAGAGACAAAAGATTGATGAAAAATGGTGACTGAAACTGATCCTGTCACAAACGTCAGTAGCATCAAATTTCCACCAAACCAAAGTGTGAATAGATCCCGAGCCTTACCGTATCGCGCATTTAATGGGATTTGCTGAATGGTATGTTGTTCAATCGAGTGAACATATTTGTCTTCCATGAGTGTCTCCTAATAGAAAAATCGTTAAAAAATTACGATCAACCAAATTGTTTTTTTAAGATGCAAATCCCCCTACGCCTAAATTGCGCAATTGAAAATGCTGAGGATTATGGGTGCAGGCGTTCTGCTATGTGGTCATTGGCTCAAGTACAATGGCATCAAACAATGCTTGGATCTGTTGATGAATTTCCCCTTCAAAAATGACCACTATTCTCGATCTGTGGTCATCATTAGGCCACGCATTTAGGTAAGATTCGGGAAATAGATAATGTTGAACACCGTGTAATATCACCGGTCGTAACGACTCTTTTACCTGAATCAACCCTTTGATTCGGAGCAAGTTCACGCCATAAAGTCGTGCCAGCTTCTGAAGAAAATGGGTCACACGTTCTCAAGACAAAGCTTGGTTAGCATATAAACACAAGGTAAAAATATTATGATGCGCTGCGTTATTGAAAGCGTTTTGAGGATTTGTCTGATGCATAAACCTTTGCGCATCAGGTAAATTACGTGTAACTGGATACTTTTCACGATCAAAAATGACTAAAGCAACAGCCGTCACATCCGCACCATCAATAATTTCAGCACTCGCATTCAGAGTACGAATACGCTTGGTAAATGTTGTAAAGGCATGCGACAAATCTGTTTTAGTTAAAATGATTTTATCTGCAACAGCGATTTGACGTAGTCTTTCCGTCCGCTGTTGCGGGGTATGTAAGGGCAATAGGGTATCAACCGTAGCAATCACGGTTTGCACACTAAATAAAGTCGCGACACTTTCATCTGCCAATAAAAGCTTAAGCAAGGGAATCGGGTCAGCCATACCTGTTGTTTCGACAATAACACGGTCAAAAACAGGAATTTCCCCTGCCTCAGCACGAAAATAAAGAAGTTTAAGCGTTTCTGAAAGTTCTGTTTTCATGCTACAACAGACACAACCACTTTTTAGCAAGACAATGTCATCGTCAAGTCGACCTATCAATAAATGATCTAAGCCAACCTCACCTATTTCATTAATAATCACTGCCGTGTGCGCCATGCGATCATCGGCCAACAAACGATGCAGTAATGTTGTTTTACCACTCCCCAGAAAACCTGTCAGTAAGGTCACAGGAATACGTTTTATTCCGCTCATATATGTCTTCCCTTACGCACATAAACAATAATTTAACCCAGTAGATTAGTTAGCACGCTGAAACACATGCTGACCTTGTAATACTGTGGTGATAACTTGAGTCTTAGCAATTTCTTCAGGGCTTGATTCAAAAATATTGCGATCCAAAACAATAAAGGTTGCTTCCTTACCCACTTCTAAACTCCCAGTACGATGACTATGCCCAACAGCAATTGCGCCGTTCAACGTCATGATCCTGACTGCCACATCCAAAGGCACACTTTCATCTCCGTGCTGCAAAATACCTGCCAGTGCAGGAAAGAGATTTGGCGTAGGTGGCAAAAGCCAATCTGTACCAATCGTCATGGATGCACCAGCATCATACAAAGTTCGAAAATCATAGGCTTTGCCAAGCGCTTGTTGATATTCTGGGATATGCCAAATCGCGGGGGACATTTCAGCAATAATGTCTAATTCTGCAAAACGGCTACGATCTTTTGCAGAAACATAATGGGCATGTGCAATGTCATGAAATTGCCCTGTTTTACGTTCAACATCGTTGGCATTTTCATAATTGTCTAAACCAATACGCACAGAACCATAACCGGTACAATGTGATTTAACGATCAAACCTTCTTTGGTCCATTCACGAATTTTTTCAGTGAGTTCATTAGAATCGAGAAGTAAATTGTAAGTAATAGGTTCATCTGAAATCGGATCTAAGGGCACATGGCTAAAGGTGGGTGCCATAGATGTACCATCTAGCATCACTTTGATTCCATTCACCATGACACGTTTTGACGCATATTGCGCTCGTTCTGCGATCACCCTTTCATCTTCTTCACGATCACTCAATGACATAATTTCTGCTTTCCAAGGAATATGACAAATCAAATCCAGTGTAAGCTCATCGTCATCATCCAAAGATTTAGCTGCTGTCAGGAATGATCTTGTTGCTGAAGCTTCCTGTGCCGAAGTAATACCATATTGATTACATATACTTGCCGCCATTTTAAGCGCGAACTTATTTTCCTCATCGGTCTCTGTGGGTGCGACCATATATAATTTCACCCATCCACCTTCACGCAAAATTCCAGTGGGTTCACCTGTTAGGGGATCTTTTTCAATTTTTGCGCGGGTCGTACTCGGTGTATCACGGGTGATACCTGCAAGATGTAGTGCTTGGCTGTTCGCCATGACGTTATGAAATGAAAAATCATGAATCACAATCGGCACGTTTGGAATGACTTGATCTAACCATTCTCGTGTCAGTAGCTCAGCTGTAAAAATCAATGGGTTATAGAGCCCTGCAAAAATCCATGTTCGTTTGGAGGCATATTTTTCCCAATATGCTTTGAGTTGCTGTGCCAATTCTTGCAAGGTTTGTGGATCATTTAATTGGCAAGAATATTCCAGTCTCAGAAGTGCCGCTTTTAAAAGGTGAGTATGTGCATCATGAATGCCGGGCATCACCAATTTCCCTTTTAAATCATATTTCTCAGCATCCGCTGCCAAACTCAGAATTTCATCCTGATCACCAATCGCTAAAATTTTACCGTCTTTTACCCACATGGCTTCTGCCCAAGGTTGTAGTTGATTCACGGTATGAAATTTTGCATTGTAATAGACGCTATTATTCATCTTGTTATCCCTGTCTATGCCCAATAAATGTTGAATTTAACTTTTAGAATTATTTACGCGATTGCTTTAAGCTGTTTACAACTTAAAGCCAATTTCAACAATTTATTTATATACGTCATTTTAAAAAATTAAGTAATTTTTAAATAACGATGTAGATCTTTTGAATTATTAAAGTAGTGTTTTAATTGAGCTAAAAAATAGGTTATTTATAAAATAATATCTAAATGCGCAGATGGTGTATCAAGGGGACAACAGCAAATATTTAAGACCGACAAAATATGGGAATGAGCAAAATCACCCTTCCCATATAAAAATTAAATTCATTGTATTTGAGTTTGCAAAGATACTTGCAAAACAAACTCAGCTTATGGAATAAATCTAGTATCTATACTAAATAAATCTGGATGTTTCGGATTGATCTGAGCATAAAATTCCATGATTTCAGCCATGTCCTGTTCATAGTCCCCAGTCGGATAAACAATTTTACCAATCCCTGTTTTTTTGTTTTTATAATCCATATACGCCAGTGCAATAGGTACGCCAGCACTGGTGGCAACATGATAAAAACCTGTTTTCCACTGTTCTTGCTTTGCACGCGTACCCTCTGGCGTCACCAGCATCACCAATTTAGGATGGGTCTTAAACAGATCACTCATCAGCTGAACCATACTTGGACGTTCCTCACCATCCTGCTTGGGACGGCGATCAATCCCGATTCCGCCCATAGCACGCACAAAAGGTCCAAAAGGCAATTTCATATAGCTGTCTTTAATGGTAATACGCACATGAACACCCAAAGCTTTCAGTGCTAAACGTGCATATAGTGCATCCCAATTACTGGTATGCGGTGCTGCAATCATGACACATTGGTCGATGTTTAAATCCCAATGGTTATCAATTTGCCATCCCATCCAACCCAAACTTTGTTCAGCTAATTTTTCAAACACCCAGCACACCAAAATATAAAGAATTTGCGCTGGATTGTAGCAACCAATAGATCAGATAAAAATCCACTTCGTATAGAAAAACAGCAATTAATATATAAATGTATAAAATTAATTCGATGTAAAACTTGTAAGTAAATATTCAGTTTTGATTAAATTCTGCAATGAATTTGCATATATCAATTTTTCGTTTGGTTAAAATAGTTAATCCAATGTAATTCACGACAATGATTATCAAAATGAATTTTTTGTGGCTGAATATTTGCATTTGACTGCTGGATGACCTGATATTCAATCCAGCTTTCTAGACAAGACTCCACTTCAAACAACTGATTGTCTTGTTCTATGCTTTGTTTCAATTGTGTGCCATCTGAAAATGTATAAATTTTGGTGGTCTGAGTGATCTCTATATCTTGCTCATAATTTTTTTCGCATTGCAAAATGACATTTTCAATTTTGATTTGATCATTGCTTTTTTGATTGTGGTTTTTTTGATTGTAAATACGAGCAACATATTCAGCCAAATGAGACATAGATTCGAATACTTAAAATATGACAATAACAGAGTTTCTATAATAGCCTAACTTTTTAACATCGAACTACATTACTCAGCAATTTCTTACATAATTCACATTTCATATCAGGGAGATAATTTATATTCTGGATAAAATCATTCACATATAATTATTTATTCATTTGGGTTATGTTATGAAAAAAACACTCTTCGTCATGCCTATTTTAGCGCTGTCATTAAGCGCTTGTTCTAAGCAGACTCATAATGCATCAGAAGATATCAAAGCGACAGCTCAAACACAGGCTGCTGCATCGCATGAAGCAGCAACCCCAACCATAGATTCAGAACACAATGCTCAAAATAGCTTGGATTGGGCTGGGGAATACAAAGGCTTACTTCCGTGTGCTGATTGCTCAGGAATCAAAACCAAACTCATCCTCAAATCAGATCACACTTATGAACTGACTGAAGAATATGAAGGGGTTAAAGGTGAAGGCAAAGAATTTAAAACTCAAGGTCATTTTAGTTTTGATGAATCTGGATCGATTATCGGTCTAGATAAAAATGCAGATAAGCGCAAATACTTTGTTGGCGAAAATATCTTAGAAGCACGTAGTTTTGCAACGGGTGAAAAGATTGAAGGTCCAAATGCTGAACTTTATCAATTAACCAAAGACGTGGAATAATTTAAAAATTATTTCCGAATAACAGCATAATAAAAACCTGCTTGAAGCAGGTTTTTTTAAATTTTGGAGCATGCTTTTTAGCGATGACCAATCAAATATGCCCCAAAGAGTGTAAAGATCCCACCTGAAATACCATCAATCCATCTTGAGGCATTTTGGTAAGCGGCTTTAAAGCTAGGTAATGAAAATACAAAGGCAACAAAGCTAAACCAGATCAGCGTTTCCACGGAAACAATTATAAATAATAATGAATGCACACCATCTAAATGTGGATTGGCTAAAAACACTGAAAATACACTACCGAAATAAATTACCGCTTTCGGGTTTGATAAATTGGTTAAGAAACCTTTGAGAAAGAAACGCAGATTGCTTTGCGGTAACTCAAAATGATGCTGTGATATATTCTCTTTCTTACTCAAAGCAGATCTAAGCATTTGGTAGCCTAACCAGCACAGATAAATCCCACCAACAACCAACATCACTTGCTTTAACCATGCCATTTTTTCAAAAATGATATTCAAACCCGCCAAAGCTAAAAAAGCCCAAAACATCACCCCTGCGGTAATCCCCAAAACCACAAAAATAGATTGCTTTCTTGAACGGCTAATCGCAGTTTGCGAGACCAGAAAGAAATCAGGGCCTGGTGTAATCAGGGCACAAAAATGAATAAAGATTAACGTACATAATGCGATCAACATGGACTAGATTCCGTTCAGCGAGACAGATTTATATTAGTGTGAAAATTCATGTTTTTCCATCGATATCGGTACATCAATAAAATTCTTTAGGCTGAACTTCGATGAACATATACCACAAATAAAACATCAACCATCTTTTAAAAAGACGGATTTTAATTATTGGAGAAAATAATATTTTATCTTTATAATCAAAAATTAAAACGTGCTTAAAAAATAAATCATGCTTAATTTAGAAAAAAATTCAACCTCACCCATTGAGCAACCCCCACATCATCCTGTGGAAGTGCAGAAGATCATCAGCATCAATAAATTTATGCTCTTGTGCTTTTTGACAATGGGTTTATATCAGATTTGGTGGATGTTTAAAGCGTGGCGCTTCTTTATGCAAAAAGACAAATTAGACATCATGCCGGCTTTTCGGGCAGTATTTTATATTTTTTTCCTATACTCCTTGTTTAAAAAAATAAATAACTATGCCAAGCAACAAGGATATACAGAGAATTTTTCATCAGGCTGGATGTTTATAGGATTTATGGTTTTTTCAGTACTGATTAAACTGCCTGAACCTTATGATCTGATTACTGTATTGAATTTCATTTTTCTAATACCTGCATTTAAGGCTCTCAATTTTGCCAAACAACAATCCAATCAATTTGTGGTCATTGAACAAAAGAAATTTAGTAAAGCTCAAATGGTACTTATCGTGTTATTTTCTATTTTTTGGTGCTTGTATTTACTCGGACTATTTCTATAGCCTAAACAGCTTGCAATGAGCTAAGCTCATTGCAAGCTGTTTAAATTAGACCAAAATATCTCGCTTACCATTCGGTCCTTGTTCACTGACAATACCCTGCTCCTGCATTTGATCAACAATACGGGCAGCACGGTTATAACCTAAGCTAAACTTACGTTGCAGTGAAGATACAGACACCTTACGTGTTTCTAAGACAAATGAAACACATTGGTCATAGAGTGCATCACGGTTCGGATCGCCATCACCATCTTCGAAACCACGTGTGGTCGGTTCTTCGTCAAACGGCGTGAGAATTTCATCAACATAATTCGGTTCACCGCGTTCACGCCATGCATCACAAATACGGTTGACTTCATCATCGGAAATAAATGCACCATGTACACGCTCAGGATCAATTTTACCTGGACCGAGGAATAACATATCACCATGGCCCAAGAGATCCTCTGCACCACCACCATCCAAAATAGTACGCGAGTCAATTTTACTGTTTACACGTAATGCCACACGGGTTGGAATATTGGCTTTAATCAAACCAGTAATAACATCTACCGATGGACGTTGTGTTGCTAACAGTAAATGAATTCCTGCTGCACGAGATTTTTGTGCCAGACGGGTAATCATTTCTTCCGCTTTTTTACCCACTTGCATGATCATATCGGCAAATTCATCGGCAACAATCACGATCGAAGGCAATGGTTGCAAACGTGGCGCTCTGTCTTGTGTTGCAGAATCACTTGGTTTCCAAGTTGGATCAATAAGATCCTCACCATTTGCAATGGCTTCTTCCACTTTACGGTTATAGTCGGCTAATTTACGGATCTTTAAAAAAGACATCAGCTTATAACGACGTTCCATCTCATTGACACACCAATTCAAAGCACTGACAGCATCTTTCATGTCAGTCACAACAGGTGTCAATAAATGAGGAATATCATTGTAGTTCGCTAATTCCAATTGTTTTGGATCGATCAGAATCAAACGTAATTGATCAGGTGTATATTTCAACAACATCGACAGGATCATTGAGTTTACAGCAACCGATTTACCTGAACCTGTTGTCCCCGCAACCAACATATGTGGCGCTTTACCTAAGTCAGTGATCACAGGATTACCCGAAATGTCCTTACCCATTGCCATTGAAAGCAAACCATTTGGATCTTTAAAAACAGGGGTTTCCAGTAATTCTATCAGACGTACCATTTCACGACTGCTATTCGGTACTTCAATCCCGATATAAGGCTTTCCGGGAATCACTTCAACCACACGTACAGATGCCATTGACATAGAACGTGCCAAATCTCGGGAAATATTGGTCACTTTCGAGGCTTTTACACCGGGTGCCAAATCTAACTCAAAACGTGTAACCACTGGCCCAGGTTGGGCTTCGATCACTTTGGCTTTGACGTTAAACTCTTGAAGTTTAATTTCTAACAGTTCAGATAAACGTGACAATTGTTCTGCGGTAAAGTTGACTTTTTTATTTGGATCGACTTTATCTAACAGTTCATAACCTGGCAATGTTGGTAAGTCTCGACGCTTATTTGCAACTTGCATTGCACGTGACATCGGACGACCAAATGCATCTGTTAATGGTGCATCCAAGTCGAAATCATCTTCAAGTTCTGCAAACTCACTTTGCAATTCGTCTTGAGGTTTACCCGCAGTTTCTTGCCAAGCATCTCTAAATGCATCTTTATCTGCAGCAATTAAAGACTTTTCTTCTTCACTGACCAAGGTTGATGCATTTAAATTGGTTTGAATATTGGCACGGGTAAATGGTGTAGATTGAGCATAATTACTGGTTGTGCGAACATCTGCAGATTGCTGATTTTGTTGGTACGCAGTTGGGGGTTCAGTAAGTTCTTCATCTGCAAGCGATGCAAGCTCATCTAGTTCATTGGCTAAATTTTGTATTGCCACGCCTGAAGTTGCCGCTACTGCGACACCACTCGCAAAGCTTTGCCCACCCTGAACAGCAGTATCTACATAACCAGCTTCAGCTTGAGCCTGCGTCGTAGCACTATTAAAGGGGCTATGGATATCTGTGGCAGTTTGTCCATTTGGTACAACTGATAACAATTCATCAAACACTTGGTCATCATCCCAATCAAGTGAAGATTTTTTATTGATCTGCACAGGATCAACATCATGTTGATGCGCGCGTGGCAAATGGTCTGCATATTTATCTTCAGTTTGATCTTCTGACGCTTTGATCAAGGCATCAATATCACGATTATGGTCTTGATCTTGATGTAGGGCTTTCCATACTTCACCAGATGAAACAGTACGTTGACTGTCTTGTTCTAGACGATGTGCTTTTTCTAAAGTCCGCTCTAATTCCAAATCATCAATATCGTCTTGATCAAATTGAACATGATGTTGAGTTTTATTTTCTTGCTCAATCATGTCATCAAATAAGCGTTCTGCTGTTTGATTGTGTTTAGTATTTTTAACAGTCAAATGCTCTTTTGCTGGTGCCTGATCTTCAGCTTCGACAAATTCAGCTTGAGCTGTTATTGGTTCAGCTTTATGCGTATGCGCATGATTTTTATTTTTCTGCGGTGATGTCAAATCAAAAGCAGATTCACTTTCAGGAACATTTTTATAAAACAAATCTTGTAAATAAGCAGGCGTGGCTTTTAGTGTTGCCCACGTTCTATTCCATTGAATACCAAACGCTAAGGTAAATAGAACAACGAGCAAGAGCAAAATAAATACAACTGCCCCATAAATACTCATCAGTTGAGATAGGCTTTCACCAAGTTCATAACCAATGATTCCACCAGAAGCATTGGCTAATGTGTCTGCTGGTACATTCCAAAGCAAATACAATAGACTTGAGGTCGCAAGCAAAATAAAAAATTGAGCAGCGTAACGAAACGGACGACTCACAAAACTTCGTGGCCACCATACTTGGACTGCTTCTATAAAAATAAATACAGGAATGAGTAAACTTGCCCAACCTAAAAAACCAAACAACAAATCAGCAATCCAAGCACCCGCTACACCACTGGCATTTGAAACCTGTTGTGTATCACTCGAAATATGCATCCAGCCTGGATCAAATGGGGTATATGTCACTGTTGCAAGGAACAGATATATCCCAAATGAAATCAAGAATATTGTTGTTAAAAAGCGCTGTGCATAAACATTTGACACCGCAGTCATATACTATCCTGTAACCAATTGTTCAAATTACTCTTTTCTGAAGCTTGATCAGCTTTCTTGAGAGAAGAAATTTTTATATTATGCACCTGTTCTTAAAAAAAAGATGCACTATTATTTACTTGTGTTGTAAAGCATTGTTAGAAATTTAAGCTTTTATTTCGATAAAAATGCCAAACAATATTATTTGATTATTCTATATAGCTCAATTCGATTTAGATGATCAATATTATCGACATTGAAGCCACACAACTTTGATAAAGTTTCACGTATAATTCAAACAATTTCTATATTTTTCATAAAAAAGGATGACTCATGAGCGCTCGTCACTCTCGGTTAATTATTTTAGGTTCTGGCCCTGCTGGTTATAGTGCTGCTGTTTATGCCGCGCGTGCAAATTTAAAACCAACCTTAATTGCAGGTATGCAACTCGGTGGTCAATTAACCACGACGACTGATGTTGAGAACTGGCCTGGCGATGCTGAAGGTTTAACAGGTCCAGCGTTAATGGATCGTATGCAAGCGCATGCTGAACGTTTTGGTACTGAGATTTTATACGATCATATCAATGAAGTTGATCTTCAGGTGCGCCCTTTTGTGCTTAAAGGCGATATGGACGAGTACACCTGTGATGCGTTAATTATTGCAACAGGTGCAACAGCACAATATTTAGGCCTTGAGTCTGAACAGGCTTATATGGGCCAAGGTGTAAGTGCTTGCGCAACTTGTGATGGTTTCTTCTATAAAAACCAAAAAGTGATGGTTGTGGGTGGTGGTAACACTGCTGTTGAAGAAGCACTATATCTTTCCAATATCGCTTCACACGTTACCCTTGTTCACCGTCGTGACAAATTACGTTCTGAAAAAATCCTTCAAGACCATCTCAACGAAAAAGTTAAAGAAGGTAAAATTTCGATCATCTGGAACCATCAAGTTGATGAAGTTTTAGGTGATAGTAATTCTGGTGTGACCTCTGTACGTATTAAGTCTACCCAAGATGATTCAACTCAAGACGTTGACGTATCAGGTATGTTTGTGGCAATTGGTCACAAACCAAATACCGCAATGTTTGAAAATCAACTTGAACTGCGTAATGGCTATATTCAAGTACGCAGTGGTACTGCGGGCAATGCCACAGCGACATCTGTAGCGGGTGTATTTGCTGCAGGTGATGTTGCTGATGATGTTTATCGTCAAGCAATTACATCTGCAGGTTCAGGCTGTATGGCAGCACTTGACGCTGACCGCTATTTAGATGGCTTAGAATAATTGATTTATTTTGTGTAAAAACAAACCGCCTACATGGCGGTTTGTTTATTTTTGATTTATAAATAAACAAGAGAAATGACTTTAAACGAATACAAACTATAGGAAAAAACATGACAACAGCGTGGACCGATGGCTACCAGACAGAAGTAAATTACACCTATGGTTACTACAGAGACTTAAGCCCGAACTACCAAAAGTTTTGCTTATTACTCAATGGGGTTGATTGCCCACCCACCAATGAACGTCACAAACATTGTGAACTCGGCTTTGGTCAAGGTGTCAGTCTAAATATTCATGCTGCATCCAGTTTTGGTTTATTTTTTGGTACAGACTTTAACCCTGCTCATGCTGCCCATGCCAATGTCTTGGCTGAACAAAATCAAGTCCCGCATCATTTCTATGATGCAAGTTTTGAAGAGTTGCTCAACAAAGACTTACCGATGTTTGACTCGATTAGTTTACACGGAATCTGGAGTTGGATTAGCCACGAAAACCAACATATTATTTTGCAATTTATCCGAAAATTTTTAAGTCCCAATGGGATTGTCTATATCAGCTATAACTGCCTGACCGGTTGGGCTGCCAATATGCCAGTCCGCGAGTTATTTCACAGTCATTTTAAATTTAATAGCACCAGTACCAACCCGCTACAAAAAGTAAATGATTCACTTAACTTTAGTGAAGAGCTATTAGCGCAAAATCCCCTCTTTGCTCAGAGAAATCCAAATGCACTCAACAAAGTGCAAGATTTAAAAAAACAAAATCCAAACTATTTGATCCACGAATACTTAAATCAAGATTGGCAGTGTTTTTCTTTTCAACAAGTGGTGCGAATTTTAGAAGAAATTAAACTGACCTATGCGGGTTCAACAGATTTAAATTCACATCTAGATAACATTAATTTTAGTGAACAACATCAGCAATTTTTAAACACCATTGAACATCCTGTTTTTAAAGAGCAATGCCGTGATTATTTTGCCAATACACAATTTAGAAAAGATTTATATATCCGCGGGAAAAATACCTTAACTGCATTAGAAATTCAGCATCGTTTGAGAAATACAGCCTTTGTCTTATTAACAGCACCAGAAAAATTGCCAAAAACAATTTCAGGATACTTAGGGGAATTCGATTTAATCCAAGAGATTTATCAACCACTCGGTGCTTATTTTAAGCAATGTGACTATAAGCCACAGACGATTGCAGAGCTTGAACAGGCCATTCCTGATATTACCTATTCAAAGCTACTCAATGCCTTGGTGATTTTATGCCACTTAGGTTTGGCACAACCTTGTCAGGCGGCTTCAAATCAAGATATGGTTGAACATGCTCAGAAATTAAATCGTTATTTCCTTGAGCAAGCCAGCTATCATACCAATTATCAAGTATTGGCCTGTCCACTCACAGGGATTGGTATTCCAGCCGATCAGTTTACCCAACTCTTCTACCGCGCTCACTTTATCGATGGTTTAGACTCTGCCGCAGAATTTGCACAATATGTTTGGGATGTGCTGACTCAATTAGGCTGGCTGGTATTGGACCAACAAGGCAACACCGTTTCAGATCCAAAAACCAGCCTTGAAGTCATTCAAGAGAAAGCCCAATTCTTTATAGATAGTGACAAACTCAAAATTGCAAAACATTTGAAACTTTTTGCATAGGGTCTGTTTAGACATTTAATTACATGATCAGCTAAGATAAAGCTGATCTTTTTTATTGATGAATTCTCGTGAATCAACTCCCCCTTTCACAATTTATTTTTCCAGATCCAATAGAAGCTGATCCAGATGAACAAGGCTTAATTTGCATAGGTGCAGACTTAGCACCTTCTACATTATATGAAGCTTATACGCATGGCTTATTTCCATGGTTTTCCGAAGGTGAGCCAATTTGTTGGTGGTGTCCAGAACCGCGTTGCATCATTCGCCCTCAGGATTATCATCCAAGTAAATCACTACTGCGAAATATGAAAAAGTTTGATTATAAAATTACCATCAATCATGCTTTTGAACAGGTCATTCGTTCTTGTTCGCTCCCACGGAGCTATGCGGATGAAACGTGGATTTCCGAGGAGATTATTCACGGTTATTGCCAACTATTTGAAGCTGGATATGCCTATAGTGTTGAAGTCTGGGATCAAGATAAAATTGTAGGTGGGCTGTATGGTGTGACGATTGGCCATGGTTGTTTTGGTGAGTCGATGTTTAGCACTCAAACCGATGTTTCCAAAATGGCTTTTTACACACTGATGTTATTGGGCCGAGAAAATAATTTACCGTGGATTGACTGTCAGTTGGTCAATGATCACTTACTCAGTCTCGGTGCTTGTACACTTTCTCGCCATGAATACCTTAAATCGTTACAAGATGTAATAAAACAACCCTCTATAGATTGGAAAAGTTATCAAGAGCGTGTATTTTCAAGTAAAACAATAGCGATTTTATCGCGCTTAATGGAATGAAAATAAAAGGAGGGACATGATTTATGAATTCTTATCATCCTAAGTCCCTATTAAACGACTTACAGTACTATATTACGCCACCACATGATTGCAGTTATCTTGAAAATAAATCTGCACGTATGGTGTTTCTCGACCCTGTACATCGTATTGATGTTGTCACACTTTCCGAATTATCGCGTGTAGGTTTTAGACGCAGTGGTGATTTTGTTTATCGCCCTGAATGCCATCTTTGCCGCCAATGCTTATCTTGTCGGGTGCCAGTGACTGAATTTAAAATGAGCAGTGCTCAGAAAAAAGCCTGGAAACGCAATCAAGATTTAACCGTTAAAATTATTTCGACCCAAGAGGCCACACAAACGCATTATCATCTGTACGAGCGTTATATTATTGAAAGACACGCCGATGGTGATATGTTCCCACCCAGTTATGACCAATTTGAAAAATTCCTGATTCACAGTTGTACCAACAGTTTTTTCCTTGAACTGTGGAAAGATGATCGTTTAATTAGTGTCTCTACCTGTGATCAATTGGACGATGGCGTTTCTGCGGTGTATACCTTCTTTGATCCAAATGAAAGTAAGCGTTCACTGGGGGTTTTTGCGATTCTCAAACAAATTGAATATGTAAAATCGTTGAATCTAGATTTTGTTTACCTCGGGTATTGGGTTCCACATGCTGAGAAAATGAATTACAAATCTCAATATGCACCATTTGAATTATTATTAGATGGACAATGGCGACGGATCAATCGTCACTTGGAAGCCAAAGAAATTCAAGAGTTAGGCGATATGTTGATGACTACCCTGCCCTCAGAATGGAATGAGCCGATTATCAAATAATCGGCTTTCGCTATTCGCATTCTCGGTATTGCTTAGCCTTATTTAAATAATTTTGAAAAATCATCACTACAGGCTTTGACCATAATAATTGCATGTTCACGGCCGCCCTGTTGATTCGGATAATAATTTTTTCTTAAATCAATTTGATGAAAGTTGGCTTTTTCATACAGCGCAATCGCAGCTTTATTGGACTCACGCACTTCAAGAAAGATTTGTACTGGATTATTTTTTAATAATGCAATCGACTCATCTAACAGTTGATAGCCTAATCCTTTACCCTGCTGGCTCGGATGAATGGCCATAAGTAATAAATTGGCTTCATCTAAAACAGGTTGCAGAATACAAAAGCCCACCACTTGATGGTCTTGCTCAATCACCGTACTTAGATAACTTGTTATAGACTCTTCAAATTGACTTTTTTTCCAAGGATGACTTTGTACCAAGTCTTCAATTTGAGAAACAGCGTGCAGATCTGAAGATTGCATTAAACGAATCATCTGCGTTCATCAACTCAATATAAAAAATGAATTATAAGAAATTAAACCAATAAGTCTAATAAAAAAGAGCAACAATTGTTGCTCCTTAATCAAAATGCTGACTTTAAAACGCGTTACAGACCCAGTTTCGCTTTCCATGTCTCAAGCAAACTCACTGTATCGAGATCATTTGGATGGAAGCCTGGCTTAAAGTATGCCAACATTTCTTTGGTCATTCCTGTGATAATGCCTTTAGATGGGCTATAAGCATATTTATAAATAATACCGAGCTCTTTTAGGTTGAGCTTGCCATCTTCTTTTAATAAACGCACCACAAAAGATGATTGCGCCATAAAGATGAGTACCATTGCAAAAACTAAAGCCGTGGTACGTAAGCCATAAGCTTTGATACCCTTACCAAACACTGCTTCATAAACATCATAAGCCACTGCTTTATGTTCATTTTCTTCTACAGCATGCCAATACCACATATACGACATGGTTGGATCAGTCATTAACTTTTGGATATGCCCATTGACCAGCAGTTGCGAAGCAATTGTTGCAGTAAAATGCTCTAATGCAGTGGTCGCGGTTAAATCCACCATTTCTTGAGTCATACCAAAAGGCTTGACTACACGTGCAAACCATTTACGTGCGCCTTGAATTAACACACCTGTTTCACGCTCGTATTTCTCAACATCATGACCAAACTTTTTTGCTGAAGCATTAAAGTTTTCATGCTCTTTGGTGTGCATAGCTTCTTGACCGATGAAAGCACTAATCTCTTTTTGTAATGCTTCATTGTCCTTGATCGCAGGGTGATAACGTACCGCACGCACAGAATCGATAAAAAGTTTTTCGCCATCTGGGAACAATGCTGACAATGCAGTCATGAAATGTGTAATACCCGCTGAACCACTTGCCCAATATTCAGGTACATCGTCAAAATTAAAATCCATACGACGTACAGGGAAAGATGCACCAGCACGGTTTGAAATATTCACTTTTGCATTCATTGCGATTCCTCCTATTAAGTGAGTTTCACTTAAATTCTTTATGTTTGTTTTTCTCTTTCTTTATATTACGTTTATATGAAAGTTTAATAATTGCAGATTAGGTCACACAAATATCAGTTAAGGACAGCTTTTGATAGGTATTGTCTAACAATTTAAATACTATGTGTAAAATGATGCTTATAGTAAATAAATAAAAAAATACAAATCAAAAATAAAATAATGACTCCCAGCACCCAAATACGATTCTTTCTTTTCGCATGGTAAGCATCATGATCAAAATTAAAATGTTCAGGATGAATATTAAATTGATAGTAAATTTCTGGAGCTACTGTAATATCAGGACGGTGTTGATGCACTCGCTTAAAAAACTCACATGCAAGTTCATGGGAATTTTTAATTACATACTCACCAAAGAATCCACCCAATTGAAAATATAATTTTTCTACAATAACTTTATTGGTGTTTATATTATTAATATGAACATAAAGTGAACTTGGTAATTTTGTATAATTTACAATATAAATATCAGGATTAGATCTATTTAAGTCATGATTTAATTGGTTAAATAAAATTGATCTTTTCCCTCCACCAAATAAATGATAATGAAAACCCAAATCATCAACTGAATAGCTACATATTTGACTTTTAAAAATTTTTTTTGAAGTTACGACCTTAAAAACATACCACCAAATCAAAGCACTTAATCCAAAAGATATAATGACAAGCATAATAAAATTTATTCTAAGCCATTGATCAGATTCATAAAAAATCATCGGTAGAGTAATTATTACATTAATAAAATACGCAAAGAAAAAGAAATAAACAACGCGTAAATAATTGGTCAATTTTTTATTTGGTATAGATTTTATGATATTCATATTCTTCACTTTATAAAAAAAGCGCCCCAAAGGAGCGCTCTTTTTACACAATCAGCGATTATGCAGTTACTTTAGCAACTACACCAGCACCAACTGTACGACCACCTTCACGGATCGCAAAACGTAGACCTGGGTCCATTGCGATTGGGTGAATTAGTTCTACTGACATTTCAACGTTGTCACCT